GGCGGGAGGAGGGAGAGGGAAATGGGAGGCTGGGAGGAGGCAGAAATTTTTTTTCAATAAAGAAACTATAAAAAATAAAAAAAAAGAAATCTGGCAGCCCATTCCATAGTCCTGAGAACCCCTCACCTCACTAAGTGTAGGTCAGGGATCTCCTGTCCCTTTTTTTTTTTTTTTTTTGAGTCAGTGCCTTAATATGTAGACCTGGCTATCCTGGAACTCTCTATGTAGACAAAGCTGGTATCAAACTCAGAGATCCACATTCCTATGCCTCCCAAGTGCTGGAATAAAGGCATGAGGGAGCCACCACATTCAGCTCTCAAGGAACTTTTAATACAAGGGAGAATCTTAAATAAGATTTGTGGAGGATATTCTGAAAGAAAGCTATGTCACAAGCCCTGTCCACACTCCCCAGTCTTTAGTAACAAAACAGAGGTGGGTAGAGATATGCCCTACCTCAAACATTAGTGGGTTACCACAGGGCTGCTCACAGAGCTTACTGTGTGATCCCACACTTGAGAGACACAGAACCAAAACTGGTGCTTGACAGAATTTAGTAGCTCCCTACCGGTGACATCATTAAATCCCAAGATGACCTCCACATGCTAAGTATAAAGGTCAACATTCAGTTTCCACCTTAGTTAACAAACACAGCAGCACAGCAAAGCAGTTCAAAGGCATCTGGCTTCCAACAGACCACCTTGCTGGCTCCTTCCCCCTCTTCCTCTTTCGCCTGCCCCTCTCCCTCTTTCTCTCACTGGGTAGCAAATGCAGATCCTCCTTCTACGCAAGTGCCTTACTATGGCATTATATCCCTAGCCCTCTCTTTTAACTGCTATTTTGAAGATTTTCTTTCATTTTAAATTGTGTGTGTGTGTGTGTGTGTGTGTGTGTGTGTGTGTGTGTGTAGCTGGATCCTGTGGACCTGGAGCCAGAGTTACAGGTGTTTGTAAGCTCCCTGACATGGGGGCTGGGAACCAAACTCTGGTCCCCTGGAAGAACAGGACATTCTCTTAACTATTGAGCCATTTCTCAAGCCCTTTGCCTATTATTTTGAAATGGTCCTGACAAGATGTCCAGGCAGACCTTGAACTTGTGATCCTCCTACCTCATTCAGCCTCGAGTCACCAGGTCCCACTTCCAGTTCAATCTTTTTGCAGCTCCTAGCTCCTTCTAAGGCCCACACCCTTTGTCAGCAGATATATATATATATATATATATATATATATATATATATATATATATATATATATTCATTACCTCTGTTTGTTGACAACTTCCAAGTCTTTGTCTCCAGTCCAGAACTCATTCCTGAACTTCAGACTCAACAGTCTTTGCCTTTTCAGTCTCCACTAGATGGCTCAAATATATATATATTTCCAAATCCTTTCCTTCTAAAACCTGTTCCTCCCAGACTTCCCCGCCTCAAACAATAACAGACCCATGTTTTCATTTGCTCAAACAAAGCAGTGAAATCATCCCAGCTTCTCTTTTTCATATCTTACATCCAGTCAATACCAAAAACAATTTTGCAGTTGGTTCCATCTTCAGAATAAATCTGGTAGAGATCACTCTTACATCTCTTCCCTCTCATACCTGGAGGACTTTGAGTCTCTCGACTTCCTTCTTCCTTCCCGACCCGAAATGCTGCCAAAATTCATGCAACTTCTTTCCATGTCCGCAGAAGGATGCCAGACCGTGTCCTTTTCAAGTGTAAGTGATGTTGTTCCCTATAGCCCTCTAGCGGTGTTCCTTCTCTTCCAGAGCAGAGCTCAAGTCCTAAGGATGGCTTGCCGAACTCCAGCTGAGACACTCCCCACACCTGACTCAACTCACACACTTTACCTGAGCACCTCCTTCTCCCTCCTCAAGAACACCGCGCACTCCACCTTCTGAGTGACCCAGCGTAAAGCTACAAATGTCACCTCCTTCCCTGCTGCCGTGTCTCCCGTTCCTGTAAGTGTGGCACCTAAATGGCATGTGTGCTTGTGAATAGTGTCACTCAGACATTTTCCACAAACATATAGGTTTTGTGAAGACAGAGATTTTATTTTGTAGTGGGATTTCTGTTGTTAAATGCTGTAACTGCAACGCTTAAAACAGAGATGGGCATACAGCAGGTAACCACTAAGCATTCGTCCAAAAATGACACACACATTATTTGAACTTTTACAACAGGTAATTTGCCCAACACATGCAGGCCTGGGTTTCTCCTGGTGGCTTGTCAATCGAGGTGAGCAAGCAACTGACCATCCTGCCAGGTCCAGGGACTTTAGCCCAATGATGAATGATCAAATGATGAGAAGGGGAAGGGTAGGCCGATGAGAAGGCTGGCAGGCCTTCCTGCAGATGATACTTTTATCACAAAAAGAATGAGAAGCCACAGGGAGGGCTCTTTTCTTTTTTTCCGGTTCACTTTTCAGGGTTTCCATTGCAGCAGCAGGACTAGAACTTTGCAAGTCAAAGCTTGAGAACTGCCTGCACAGTTGCAAGTTCAGCTGGAAAGGCCTCCAGAGAAGCATGGGAGGGCAGCAGTAGAGATCTCCCCAAAGTAACAGCAGAAAATAGAAAGCGTCAACAAATTCAAAAAGTCTCTCTACTAGTGCAAAAACCATGAAAAAGTATCATATCCTGGTTTGTTTGTTTGTTAGCTAGTTAGTTTGTTTGTTTTTTTTGGTTGTTTTGTATTTATTGTTGGTAGTTTTATTTTGTTTTGTTTGTTCATTTGTTGTTGTTGTTGTTGTTTTAAACAGGGTATCTCTGTGTAGCCCTGGTTGTCCTGGAACTTGCTCTGTAGACCAGGTTGGCTTTGAACACACAGAGCTCCACCTGCCTCTGTCTCCTGAGTGCTGAGATTAAAGGTGTGCGCCACCACCACCCAGAAACCATATCCTTTTTTTTTTTTTTTTTTTTTTTGGTTTTTCGAGACAGGGTTTCTCTGTGGTTTTGGAGCCTGTCCTGGAACTAGCTCTTGTAGACCAGGCTGGTCTCGAACTCACAGAGATCCGCCTGCCTCTGCCTCCCAAGTGCTGGGATTAAAGGCGTGCGCCACCACCGCCCGGCTTTACCATATCCTTTTTGAACTGTGTACTTCTGATGCTTTGACACTGAGACATTTAACTAGGACCCATGGGTCCTTAAGAGTAGCTAGGGGCTGAGTGTTGATAAGATCTGTAGACAGTGTTGATTCTGGGATAGGCTTCTGTTGTAAGCTCCCTTTCCGGCTTTCCTTTTCAAATAATGGAAGCTGTCAGAGCTTAGCTCTTGTGACTGTACAGCATTTGACAGAGAACTGTCAAACCCTTCCTTCCCTGGGCCTGATTGCCTTGCACAGGGAGCAATCAATTAGCCCGCTGCTTCTGTGGAAACCAGTTACATTGTCATCATGGGAGTTAAGTTGCTCTGAATAATTTCCAGATGTCCCAAGGAATTTCCAATCCAGCTGTGAACACCATTGCAATCATAGCTGTTTCTGCTGAAGCCACTTCTACTTCTAGAGGCTCTGCTCCCGTTGTAGCCAATGTATATACATGGCTTGTACCAAATATACAAAATGTCACTTTGCTCAAGACAAATAGTGATGACCTCCAGACAGCTGATCACAGAGGAGCGTGTCGGAACTGCCCACCTACTTAGGTAAGGAGAAGCACTTCCTCCAGTGACTCAGTGAAAATCTGATTGACAGGAAGAAAGGAGGCTGCCCACACATGGGATGTATATAGGAGGCTCATGACCCTGTGAACATGCAAGCCTTGTAGACCTAGAAGCCACACACACGCAAGGTTGTGATGCTGTGCACAACCGTGTCATACTCTTTCTTCATTGTATAAGTTTCTTCCGGCTGCTCTGGGAGACTTCCCTGCTGTGTACCGCCCCTGGGTATTTATCCATGCATTAAAAAGCTTCTGCTCAGTGCTCCTTTTCCCCCTTTCTGTTATTGCTTCTTTGGAGGGAGGGACAGAGGTCAGAAGACCGCTTTCAGGAGTCATTTCTCACCTAGCAGTTTTGGGGGCAGTGAAAGACCTGGATAAATCCAGAAACCCCTCTAGCAGGAAGAGAAGAGCCAAAAATCTAGGATTAGCTGGTTCAGTGACTTGTTTCAGGAACTAGCTGAAGATAAAGTTAGATTGTAATCTTGAGAATAATCTTGAGAAACAGGGAGTTGCGGGAGTTGCCCCCTTGTGATCATCACTGGTATTTTCGGAATTTTCTATGACACCCTCCCTGCCCCCTTCGGATTACTAGGTTGTGGTTTCTTCCCTTAAATACCCCTTCTCCTGGTCATTGGGGGTCGAACTCCTACCCTGGGTGGGTTATGAGTTTCGGCCCCAGTGTACTGGTACCTGTCAATAAACCTCGCGTGACTGCAGCAAGGATGGTCTCTCGTGAGTTACTTGGGGGGTGGGGGGGGTCGTGTTATCCCTAGAGTTGAGTGAGAGTCTCCCCACACCGGTGGTCTTTCAGCAGGATCTCTCTGCTTCGAACTGCGGCTTTCACATCCCACTTTCTGTGTGTGTTCTGGAAATCAGGCTCAAATTGTCAGGCCTATTAGGTGTGTCCATCAGGATTCTCAGGAGGAGTAGAACCAACATAATGAATATATGGTGTAATAGTTCGAATGTAAGGTGTCCCCATAATCTCATAGGGAGTGGCACTATTAGGAGGTGTGGATTTGTTGGAGAAACTGTGCCACTGAGGAGGAGGAGCCGGAGGAGGGAGAGCAGAGGGAAGAGAAATGGGGAGCAGGGGGAGGAGAGAGAGCAGAGGGAGAAGAAATGGGGAGCAGGGCGAAGAGGGGAAGTAGAGGGAGTAGAAATGGGGAGCAGAGAGAGGAGGAGCAGCAGCAGCTGGACATCAGTCTACACACTTTAATTCCATCATTGGAGAAACAGAAGCAGTAAGATCTGAGTTCCAGGCCAGTCTGATCTACACACACACACACACACACACACACACACACACACAATAATTGTGAAAGTTTTTTTAAGGAAAACAGAATGCCATTTTCCAAAAATAAAGATATATATATTCTGAGTTTATTCTACTTGACATTAGTACCGTGAACGATAGTAAAATTGAAACAGAACAGCCTTTCTTGATCATCCCCTACAATGGCTTCCGCAATGCACTTGTATCGGCCCTAGAATAAGGAATAATAAAGACAAACTGTTATTCTTTTTTAAAAATGCTGCAAGATCCCCATGGCAGTAGGCAGCAGAAATGTTGTAGGTCCCAAATGGTGGTAGCGGGCCATGTGGTGGCAGGCAGCGGGCCCTGGGAGCAGCCAGTCCCAGGCAGAAATGGCTGCCGGTCCCAGAGCGGTGGCCTGAGCGGTGGTGGCAGACCATGTGGTGGCAGACAGCGGGCCCTGGGAGCAGCCAGTCCCAGGCAGAGACGGCTGCTGGTCTCAGAGCAGTGGTGGCGGGCCATGTGGCAGCAGGCAGTGGGCCCCAGGCAGAGACAGCTGCTGGTCCCGGAGCAATGGCTGGTTCCAGGCAGGGAGACACATGGCGGGCAGGCAGAAAACAGAAACATGGATAGACACGACATGCAGGGTGAGGTTGAATGTTTATTCAGGGGGTTATGGAGAAGGAAGTGTGAAGGGTGGGACAGAGAGAAAGGGAGAGAGAGAGAGAGAGAGAGAGAGAGAGAGAGAAGAGGAGAAAGAGACAGAGAAGGGGGGAAGCAGAGAAGTGGAGAGAGAGGCAGAAGCAAAGCTGCCTCTCCGAGAGGAAGATGGAAAAGAGAACGAGCTCAGGCCAGAAGCTGAAGATCAGCCTGCCTCAGTGGATGGGGAGGGGAATGGGTGTGGCTTGTCTCTTAAAGGGACCAAAACCATAACACAAACAATACAAAATATTAGGTGCTGTGATTCACAAACTCTGTAAGAACGTTCTTCTTTTCTTTCTTTTTGTTTTGTTTTGAGACAGGCTTTCATTATGTAGCCCTAACTAGTCTGGAACTCACTATGTAGACCAGGCTGGTCTCAAACTCACAGAGATCCATCTGTTAAGATTAAAGACGTGAGCCTGGCAAGAACTTTGTTCTTTTCGGTATATAACATTGAAATTGAATTGGTTTGTGTGTGTGTGTGTGTGTGTGTGTGTGTGTGTGGTGAATGGAATCAAACCCAGAGCTTGATGCCTGCCTCTCAATACTCTAGCACAGAGCTAATTCCCAAGCCCAATTTCACTCTTAGTTTCCCAATAAGATAGAAACCTGCATGAATGCCTTCTAAAATTGTGCCTGTGTGCATGCATTTGTGTGAGTGTGTGCATGCCGCATCATTCAGGTGGTGGTCAGGGGACAATGGGAGTCAGATCTCTCCTCCTGTCATGTGAGTCTCAGCAAGAGAATTCCATTCATCTTGGAAGTAAGCACCTGTATCCACAGCCATCTTACTGGTCTCTGCATAAGTTTTAATTGTTTCTCAATTAGAAAGTGAGGATGTCTCTCTGTGAGTTCGAGACCAGCCTGGTCTACAAGAGCTAGTTCCAGGACAGGCTCCAAAACCACAGAGAAACCCTGTCTCGAAAAACAAAACAAAACAAACAAAAAAAAGTGAGGATGTCTTTTTAAATAGTCCACAAGACTATTTCAGAGAATGGCTCAGAGGGGAGGGGCACTTGCTGTACAAGCATAAGCTCCTGAGTTCAAATCCCCAGAACTGACATTAAAATAACAAAATACCTAAAACCAAAACTCTTGACTGTGGTCATGCTACCCTGAACACACCCAATCTCAATTGAATAACTATTCTATTTGCTTGGCTGGTTTTTGGTTTTGTTTGGTTTGGTGTTTGTTTGTTTGTTTTTGAGACAGGGTTTCTTTGTAGCTTTGGAGCCTGTCCTGGAACTAGCTCTGGTAGACCAGCTGGCCTCGAACTCACATCCACTTTGCCTCTGCCTCCCAAGAACTGGGATTAAAGTTGTGTGCCACTACTGCCTAGAGAATACTATTCTTAAAAGTGGTGAATTGCTTTTTTCAATTCTTAACATATGTTGTTTGAATAAGAATGGCCCCCATAGACAGACTTAGTTGACTCCCCAGGAGAGGTCTTACCCTCTCTGAGGAGTGGATGGGGTGTGGGGTGTAGGAGAAGTGGGGGAGAGGGAGGAGAGGAGGGAGGGGGATTGGTATGTAGATAAATAAATTTTTACCTTAAAAAAATGGTCCCCATAGACTCATAGATTTGAATGCTTGATCACCAGTGAGTGGCACTATTAGAAGGTGTGGCCTAGTTGGGGTAGGTGTGGCTTTGTTAGAGAAAGTGTGTCCCTGGGGGTAGACTTTGCCAGTTCAGAAGCTCAAATCAGGTCCAGTGTCTCTCTTCCTGCCAATCCAGATACAGAACTCTGGGCTCCTTCTCCAGCACCGTATCTTCCTGAGTGCCACCATGCTTCCCACCATGACAATAATAGACTAAACCTCTGAACTGAAAGCCAGCCCCAATTAAATGTTTTCCTTTTTATAAGTGTTTCCATGGTCATGGAGACTCACAGCAATCCTGACTGATGTGGGAAGTCCTTCTGTATATGTGTTGTTTTTATTGGTTAATGAATAAAGCAGTTTTGGTCAAAAGTCTAGCCAAGTAAAGCTAGGCAGGAAATTCGAACAGAGATAGAGAGTCAAAGAGATGCCATGTAGCCAAAGAAGGACACGCCGAACCTTACCAGTAGGCAATAGCCTGTGGTAATACACGGATTAGTAGCAATGGGTTAATTCAAGATGTAAGAACTAGTTAAAAATATGCCTAAGTCATTGGCCAAGCAGTATTGTAATTAATATAGTTTCTGTGTGATTATTTGGGTCTGGGCAGCCAGGAAATGAATGAGCAGCCTCCATTTACAAGTGAAGAAAGAGCAAAATATTTCTTGAACAATACCTTAGGAAATATTACTCCCTTGAAGGAAAATGGTACTCTTGTATTCACAGTCTCTGAAAACAAAACACAAACATTATTAGTCATCTTGGGTGATTTCTTTTTTAAAAATATGAAGTGTAGTTTTATGGAGTGCCCTTACTAATAACAGAAGCATTTCTAAGGAAAAATGTAGAGAAATGACTCCTACACCCTACCTACTCCATCTACAGTGCTCCACCCTGACACTCAAGTACATGAGAGTCCCTCCCGGAACCAGCCCATGTCTCATCTCCTAGGGCATCTGAAGTTTTGCCACCTATCAGTCTCAGTGAATTGATTAATATATACATCAAGCTAGATTATGTACGTACAAACTTAACTTTTAGATGCACCTCTAGTTGGATAGAACAGATAAGAATCTCCCTAAACACAGATGTTTCTTTTGACAACACTGAGAATTGACCCTAGGGTCTCATGCACGCTGGGCACAATATCATCTTAGTTATATCCTCCCTGAGACAGTACAAACACAGCCAGAATCCTTACACCCCTTCCAATCACACCACCAAGAAGCATAAGGCTTCAGCCTATGTTTAAATAAGCAGCCATGAGACTGTCCCTTTCTGTATAAGCCACAGAGCATAAAGGTAGACCAGCAGAAAAAGCCAAACAGCTTGAGGTAGAGGTAAAGTCAGAGGGACGGAAATGTTTTGAATGTCAAACAAAAGAAATACTGGTCTTTAAAAAGCAAAACTGTGTGTATATGTGTGTGTGTGTGTGTGTGTGTGTGTGTGTATGTGTGTGTGTGTGTGTGTGTGCGCGCGCACACGAGCACTGCATGTGCACAGCATGGCACAGAAGTGGAGGACAACTTGTAGCAGGCACCATGTGGGTTCCAGCAGTGGAACTCAAGCCCGCATGGTTCTGCACGGCAGCAAGCATCTTCACCTAATGGACCATCTCACCAGCTTAGCTGTCTAACTACGTACCAAGGGAGTCCATGAGACAACATCTGAGTCCCTGAATCAGAAGGATGGGTGCTTGGAACAGATCCTGGGTCCTCAGTGCACTGAGCCTTATTTAAAATTTTAATAACAGTTCAAAGACTATTAGCTGAAAGCCCACTTTGTGCCAGGGAATAACGAGACAATGGTGGTTAGCCCATAATTGTCTCTTCCTGAAAACAAGTTAATTTATTCAGAACATAAATATGTAAAAAAAAAAAAACAAACATACGATGCACAATGGGAGCTGGGTGTGGTGGTTCACCCCTTTGCACTCAGTACCAGGGAGCAGAGGTAGGGGAATCTCTGCAAGTTTGAGGCCAGCTTGGTCTACTTATTGATCTCCAGGCTAGCCAAAGCTACATAGAAAGAGTCTGCCTCAAAAAAGAAAAGCAGTGGGAAAGAAACAGTGATTAAGGTGTGTGAGGTGGTGGCCAGGGTGATGGCACTCAGCATTCCTGTCACAGGGTTACCATGTTGCACCCTCCATGCAAGGATTCACTCCCACATGGTTGCTCACTGGACAGTACCCGACTCCCGACACCACAGAGCATCCATCCCTGGTTCTGAGTCTCCCTGCACCCAGAAACCACTAGGAATGAGAAGAGAAGTGTGGTGCAGGCCTCCAGGTGCCAGCGGAGGAGCAGACACACACCATGGTCTCAGTAGGAAGCCAACACAGCACATTTGCAGCAGGAAAGGAGAAGACTAAGACCTGGGGATCTGGTGGCACACGCCTTCAACCCCAGCACTCAGGAGGCAGAGGCAGGTGGATCTCTGTGAGTTCGAGACCAGCCTGGTCTACAAGAGCTAGTTCCAGGACAGGCTCCAAAGCTACAAAGAAACCCTGTAAAACCACAGACACACACACACACACACACACACACACACACACACACACACACACAAAATGACCTGGGGTTCTGGGAAGGAAATCAGAAGGAACAGCCAGGTTTCTGCCCTGGGGGCTGTGTTGGTCAGTTGTCCCTCTCTTTTTTGATGCGACATTAGCTAGAAGCCTCTAAGTGCACTAAAGAAGCCAGAAAGACACCAAGCTGGACCAGAGAAAATAAAGACAGAAGCCCCTCTCTGGTCCCTCTCTACTCTTCCAAAAGGTGACCCATGGTCCCAGACCAGTTATGAAGGAGTAGTGAAAATAATTTTATGGTTGGGGGGTCACCACAGCATAAGGAATTGTACTGAAGGGTCGCAGCACTGGGAAGGGTGAGAACCACTGATCTAGAGCAAAGTACAGGCCTTCCTGCCAGGAAGTTCTACACTTCTCTCATTCCATGAATTCTGTGTCCTTGTCATTCAGTTTTGTCCCATTGAGTTCTAATTCATGTTATGCCACTAAATTTAATAAATGCCTGTAAGCCACCTTGCATCCCCTTTTAAATAAGACCAGTCTCGGAATAGTGGTAAATAATTATATGAGAAAAACAAATTTCAAGAGTAAGTTTTTAAAGTTAATAAAAATTAAGTACAAATTTTTAGCCTAATTTTTTAAAAAAATGTCTTCATGCTGGGCATGGTAGTACACTGATGTAGGAGAGTCATCTGTCTATGTGTTATTTCATTGGTTAATAAAGAAACTGCCTTGGCCTTTTGATAGGCCAGCCCCTTAGGTGAGTGGAGTAGACAGAACAGAATGCTGGGAGAAAGAAGCAGAGTCAGGCAGCCGCCATGGAGCCAGCTGCCAGGTCAGACATGCTGAATCTTTCCTGGTAAGCCACCACCTCGTGGTGCAACACAGATTATTAGAAATGGGTTAATCAAGATGTGAGAGTTAGCCAGTAAGAGGCTAGAGCTAATGGGCCAGGCAGTGTTTAAAAGAATACAGTTTGGGTGTAATTATTTCAGGGCATAAGCTAGTCAGGCAGCCGGGAGCCAGGTGGCAGGAACGCAGCCCACTGCTCCTTCTACAGTACAATCCTTTAATCCCAGCACTCAGGAGGCAGCGGCAAGCAGATCTCTAAGATTCCACAGCCTGCTTCCTTAACACAGAGAGTTCCAAGACAGCCAAGGATCCATGGAGAGACCCTGTCTCAAAACAAAACAAAAGTCTTCAGCTTTGCTTTTAAAGTTATAAGGCTAGATCCTAACACAGGCAGATTAAACTGACTGGTGTAATGTTGATTTAAGACAGCACAAGATACGAATTGGTTTGAAAAGCAGCTTGGGTTAGAACAAACAAAAACTGTAAATATGTTCAAATATTTAACCCGGAAATATCTGGAAGTCATCCATAACTCTCCTAAGAATGGGAATATTCAAGCCTAATATATACAAAAGACTATACATAGAAACATATTCATTACATTATTGTTAGGGTTTGAATATCGAATGTCCCTACACAGACTTGTGTGTCTGAACACTTGGTTCCCAGCTGCTGATGGTGTTTTGGGAGGTGGTGAGCACTGGGGCCTAGCTGCACTCCTACTGCCATTCCTCCTCAGCATGAAAAAATGTCCTCAGATCATGAAACCCAATAGACCCCTCTGCGCTCGCTCGCCCTCCCTCCCTCCCTCCTTCCCTCCCTCCCTCCCTCCCTCCCTCCCTCTCTCTCTCACTCTCTCTCTCTGGATTTTTTATTCTTTTTTTCAATTTCATCTTACATTGCAACCGCAGTTAGCCCTTCTGCCCCTGCTCCCACTTCCCTAACCTCCCATCCGAGATTTATTTATCATGTATACAGTGTTCTGCCTGCATGTATGCTGCAGGCCAGAAGAGGGCGCCAGATCTTGTTATAGGTGAATGTGAGCCATCATGTGGTTGCTGGGAATAGAACTCAGGACCTCTGGAAGAACAGCCAGTGCTTTTAATCTCTGGGCCATCTTTCCAGCCCTCCTCTTTCAGTTTTTTAAGACAGGGTTTCTCTGTTTAACATCCCTGGTTGTCCTGGAACTCGCTCTGTAGCCCAGGCCGGCCTCACACTCACAGAGATCCACCTGCCTCTGCCTCAGGACTGCTGGGATTAAAGGTCTGTGCCACCACTATCTGACTTTCTTTCCTTTTTTTAAATAATTTATTTTATGTGCATGAATGTCTTGCCTGCATGTATACAAATGTACCACATGTTTGAATAGTGTCCAAGGAGGTCAGAAGAGGGTATCCAGTCCCCTGGAACTGGAATTGCAGACAGATGTGAGCTGCCTTGTGGGTTCCAAGAATCAAACCTGGGTCCTCTAGAAGAGCAGCAGGGGCTCTTAACCACCCAGCAATCTCTCCAGCCCCAATCTTTCTTCTCTTACATTGCTTTTTGTCAGGATCTGATCTCAACAATAAGAGAAGTAGCTAATTCAGTTCTTTATAATAGGGAAAGCAGTAGAAGGAAATTAAACATTAAGTAAAAAGAAAGCATATCCACTGTCTTAGTCTGGTTTCTGTTCCAGTGAAAAACACCATGACTGTGGGGAGCCATGAAGCCTCGTCTTGGATCAGTCTATGAACGTCTGTCCCATGGGTCCCCAGGCAATGCCATGGAAGACAATCTCTCACTTGGCAAAAACCAGTGGACCACAGAGCAGCGCGGGATTTTGATGAATTCATGCAGCTTGCAGGCTCTTTTCTCTCTGGTTATTGTTGATTCTTTGGGAAGGTTTTAGTTTTATTTTGTCAGTCACAGACACAACAGCTGTAATTTTCTCTGGAAATTCTGTTCATTTCCCCTAAGAGTCAGAAGGGGATTATTGCTTCTCAAATCTCTTATCTGAAATTACTAACTACAACTCCTAATCCTGGGAAGTTTTCTGACTCAACAGAAACAGTTAGCTACATCTGGGAAAACAATGCTTGGAACATTAAGCATGTCTCACAGGTCTGGCAGGGAGAGAGAGGCAAGCATCCACAGAGCAGGGGAAGGCCTCAGGAACACACATAGTGCCAGCTGCGGAGAGTAAGTTCACTGGACACCAAGTATAGAAGCATTGGTAGGATCTGGTATGCTCCAAGAGGAATAAGTACAATATAAAATGTGGGATGGACAGATCCACCTTTGCCATACACAGGAGCTTACGTTGGTGGAAAAAGTGTGGTATGGTGGGGTGGAAAAGAGTGCCTTACCAAAG